ATACTTTGGGTAATATATTGAATGACCCAGGAAGCATCAAAAGAAGATGGAGGGAATCACTGTACCAAAAAGAACTGACTCACCTTTAAAAATTTCAAGAAGTATCATGTGAGCTAGAGAGAGCTCTGTTGGCCTAGTGGATAGAAAGTTATGCTACCAATCCAAAGTTGGTGATTTTAATCTGTGGCCCTCAGGCCTGGTTTTAATTGATGTTTGGCAAACATTCTTCTAAGTGGTATAGCACTGGTCTATTTGCTATACAGAGATAACTCGTGGTTGCTGTGATGCTAAACATTGTGACACTGTAGCATCAAATGTGATAATGTTTACCCATGGTGGACAGTGTTTGGTGGAGCTTCCTGATTAAAACAAGCTTGAAAACAGGAGTGGCATCCACTTCCAAAATAGTTTGCCTCTGGAAACTCTATGAACGTGGAGAAACGATGAAAGTTACACAAGTGTTCAGGTCTTTCATTCATAGGGTCACTATGAGTCATCTACGACTCAACAGCACTATACAACAACAATCATATGAGCAGGAGCTAGTGGTAATGAAGGAGGACGTGGAACCTCACTGAAGGCATTGGCAAAAAGTGAGGCCCAAGGAATTGATGGAATACCAATTGACTTGATTCAATCAACAGCCCTAGATGCACTCACACGAGTCCATGCCAGAAAATTTGGAGGACAGCTGTCTGGCCAAAGGATTGGAAGAGGTCCATATTTTTCCCATTCCCAAGAAAAGTGATCCAACAGAATGTAGACACTACCAAATATCATTAATATCACATACAAGCAAACTAGCAAAGTACTGCTGAAGATCATTCAAAAATGTCTAGAACAGTACATAGTTAGGGATCTGCCAGAAGTTCAAGTAGGATTTAGAAGAGGGTGTGGCACCAGAAATATCATTGCTGATGTCAGATAGATCCTGGCTAACAGTAAAGAATACCAGAAGAATGTCCATTTATGCTTTATTGATTATGCAAAGGCTTTTGACTGTGTGGATCATAACAAGTTATGGGTAACATTGAAATAAATGGGAATCCCAGAGCACTTGATTGTGCTCATGTAAAACTTATATATAGACCAGAAGACTGTTAAGCGAACAGAACAAAGGAACACTATGTGGTTTAAAATTAAGAAGGGAGTGTGTCAGGGTTGTATTCTCTCTTCATACCTATTCAATCTTGATGCTGAGCAAATCATTTAAGAATCTGGACTTTATGAAGAGGAATGTGGCATCAGGATTGGAGGGAGATTCATCAATGAACTGCATTGTACAGATAATACAACTTCGCTTGTTGAAAGTGAGGAGGAGTTGAAGTTTTTATTGCAGAAGATCAAAGAATACATCCTTCAATATAGATTGCATCTCAGTGTCAAGAAAACAAAGATTCTTTTTTTTTTACAATACAGACAAAACTATTTTATTCAAAGTTACTCCTTACAAAATAATCTCTTCACAATAGAAAATGATAAACATGATGACAAAATAATTAAAAATGTTCTTCTAAATCTTCCATCACAAATACGTTGTAAAGATCCACAAGGCACATGGACTTTATGAGTAAAGCACTGTTA